GCTACTTGATTGTGTCCTATGTTCTCCAATGTCACTGGCCTCACTGTGACTAGATCCCCTTCTTCCGCTTAGGCCAGACCCTTCCAATCCGGATTGCCCAAGACCAGCCTGTGCATGCTCACTGGTGACACCTGAGTGTCCATGAGTACTTCTCTGTCTCCCTCTAAGAGAGGATCTGGACTCTCCATGTTGAGACCCAGACTGGCCCTGTAGGGACCCAGGGTGTCTCTGTGAGCCTCCTGAATGAAGTTCACTGTCACTGGACTCACTGTGACTAGATCCCCTTCTTCCACTTAGGCCAGACCCTTCCAATCCGGATTGCCCATGACCAGCCTGCGCATGTTCACTGGTGACTCCTGAGTGTCCATGAGTACTTCCCTGTCTCCCTCTATGAGAGGATCTGGACTCTCCATGTTGAGAACCAGACTGGCCCTGTAGGGACCCAGGGTGTCTCTGTGAGCCTCCTGAATGAAGTTCACTGTCACTGGACTCACTGTGACTAGATCCCCTTCTTCCACTTAGGCCAGACCCTTCCAATCCGGATTGCCCATGACTAGCCTGCGCATGTTCACTGGTGACTCCTGAGTGTCCATGAGTACTTCCCTGTCTCCCTCTAAGAGAGGATCTGGACTCTCCATGTTGAGAACCAGACTGGCCCTGTAGGGACCCAGGGTTTCTCTGTGAGCCTCCTGAATGAAGTTCACTGTCACTGGACTCACTGTGACTAGATCCCCTTCTTCCACTTAGGCCAGACCCTTCCAATCCGGATTGCCCATGACTAGCCTGCGCATGTTCACTGGTGACTCCTGAGTGTCCATGAGTACTTCCCTGTCTCCCTCTAAGAGAGGATCCAGACTCTCCATGCTGAGACCCAGCCTGGCGCTGTCGGGACCCTGAATGTCTCTGTGAGCCTCCTGAATGAAGTTCACTGTGACTGGACTCACTGTGACTAGATCCCCTTCTTCCACTTAGGCCAGACCCTTCCAATCCGGATTGCCCACGACCAGCCTGCGCATGTTCACTGGTGACTCCTGAGTGTCCATGAGTGCTTCCCTGTCTCCCTCTAAGAGAGGATCCGGACTCTCCATGTTGAGACCCAGCTTGGCCCTGTCGGGACCCAGGGTGTCTCTGTGAGCCTCCTGAATGAAGTTCACTGTGACTGGTCTCACTGTGACTAGATCCCCTTCGTCCACTTAGGCCAGACCCTTCCAATCCGGATTGCCCACGACCAGCCTGCGCATGTTCACTGGTGACTCCTGAGTGTCCATGAGTACTTCCCTGTCTCCCTCTAACAGAGGATCTGGACTCTCCATGTTGAGAACCAGACTGGCCCTGTAGGGACCCAGGGTGTCTCTGTGAGCCTCCTGAATGAAGTTCACTGTCACTGGACTCACTGTGACTAGATCCCCTTCTTCCACTTAGGCCAGACCCTTCCAATCCGGATTGCCCATGACTAGCCTGCGCATGTTCACTGGTGACTCCTGAGTGTCCATGAGTACTTCCCTGTCTCCCTCTAAGAGAGGATCCGGACTCTCCATGTTGAGACCCAGCCTGGCCCTGTCGGGACCCTGAATGTCTCTGTGAGCTTCCTGAATGAAGTTCACTGTGACTGGCCTCACTGTGACTAGATCCCCTTCTTCCACTTAGGCCAGACCCTTCCGATCCGGATTGCCCACGAGCAGCCTGCGCATGTTCACTGGTGACTCCTGAGTGTCCATGAGTACTTCCCTGTCTCCCTCTAAGAGAGGATCCAGACTCTCCATGTTGAGACCCAGCTTGGCCCTGTAGGGACCCAGGGTGTCTCTGTGAGCCTCCTGAATGAAGTTCACTGTCACTGGACTCGCTGTGACAACATCCCCTTCTTCCACTTAGGCCAGACCCTTCCAATCTGGATTGCCCATGACCAGCCTGCGCATGTTCACTGGTGACTCCTGAGTGTCCATGAGTACTTCCCTGTCTCCCTCTAACAGAGGATCTGGACTCTCCATGTTGAGACCCAGTCTGGCCCTGTAGGGACCCTGGGTGTCTCTGTGAGCCTCCTGAATGAAGTTCACTGTCACTGGACTCACTGTGACTAGATCCCCTTCTTCCACTTAGGCCAGACCCTTCCAATCCAGATTGCCCATGACTAGCCTGTGCATGTTCACTGGTGACTCCTGAGTGTCCATGAGTACTTCCCTGCCTCCCTCTAAGAGAGGATCCGGACTCTCCATGTTGAGACCCAGCTTGGCCCTGTCGGGACCCTGAATGTCTCTGTGAGCCTCCTGAATGACGTTCACTGTGACTGGACTCACTGTGACTAGATCCCCTTCTTCCACTTAGGCCAGACCCTTCCGATCCGGATTGCCCATGACCAGCCTGCGCATGTTCACTGGTGACTCCTGAGTGTCCATGAGTACTTCCCTGTCTCCCTCTAAGAGAGGATCCGGACTCTCCATGTTGAGACCCAGCTTGGCCCTGTAGGGACCCAGGGTGTCTCTGTGAGCCTCCTGAATGAAGTTCACTGTCACTGGACTCGCTGTGACAACATCCCCTTCTTCCACTTAGGCCAGACCCTTCCAATCTGGATTGCCCATGACCAGCCTGCGCATGTTCACTGGTGACTCCTGAGTGTCCATGAGTACTTCCCTGTCTCCCTCTAACAGAGGATCTGGACTCTCCATGTTGAGACCCAGCTTGGCCCTGTAGGGACCCTGGGTGTCTCTGTGAGCCTCCTGAATGAAGTTCACTGTCACTGGACTCACTGTGACTAGATCCCCTTCTTCCACTTAGGCCAGACCCTTCCAATCCAGATTGCCCATGACTAGCCTGTGCATGTTCACTGGTGACTCCTGAGTGTCCATGAGTACTTCCCTGTCTCCCTCTAAGAGAGGATCCGGACTCTCCATGTTGAGACCCAGCCTGGCCCTGTCGGGACCCTGAATGTCTCTGTGAGCCTCCTGAATGAAGTTCACTGTGACTGGCCTCACTGTGACTAGATCCCCTTCTTCCACTTAGGCCAGACCCTTCCGATCCGGATTGCCCATGACCAGCCTGCGCATGTTCACTGGTGACTCCTGAGTGTCCATGAGTACTTCCCTGTCTCCCTCTAAGAGAGGATCCGGACTCTCCATGTTGAGACCCAGCTTGGCCCTGTAGGGACCCAGGGTGTCTCTGTGAGCCTCCTGAATGAAGTTCACTGTCACTGGACTCGCTGTGACAACATCCCCTTCTTCCACTTAGGCCAGACCCTTCCAATCCGGATTGCCCATGACCAGCCTGCGCATGTTCACTGGTGACTCCTGAGTGTCCATGAGTACTTCCCTGTCTCCCTCTAAGAGAGGATCCGGACTCTCCATGTTGAGACCCAGCCTGGCCCTGTCGGGACCCTGAATGTCTCTGTGAGCCTCCTGAATGAAGTTCACTGTGACTGGCCTCACTGTGACTAGATCCCCTTCTTCCACTTAGGCCAGACCCTTCCAATCCGGATTGCCCATGACCAGCCTGCGCATGTTCACTGGTGACTCCTGAGTGTCCATGAGTACTTCCCTGTCTCCCTCTAAGAGAGGATCCGGACTCTCCATGTTGAGACCCAGCTTGGCCCTGTAGGGACCCAGGGTGTCTCTGTGAGCCTCCTGAATGAAGTTCACTGTCACTGGACTCGCTGTGACAACATCCCCTTCTTTCACTTAGGCCAGACCCTTCCAATCCGGATTGCCCATGACTAGCCTGCGCATGTTCACTGGTGACTCCTGAGTGTCCATGAGTACTTCCCTGTCTCCCTCTAAGAGAGGATCCGGACTCTCCATGCTGAGACCCAGCCTGGCCCTGTCGGGACCCTGAATGTCTCTGTGAGCCTCCTGAATGAAGTTCACTGTGACTGGACTCACTGTGACTAGATCCCCTTCTTCCACTTAGGCCAGACCCTTCCAATCCGGATTGCCCATGACTAGCCTGCGCATGTTCACTGGTGACTCCTGAGTGTCCATGAGTACTTCCCTGCCTCCCTCTAAGAGAGGATCCAGACTCTCCATGTTGAGACCCAGCTTGTCCTTGTAGGGACCCAGGGTGTCTCTGTGAGCCTCCTGAAGGAAGTTCACTGTCACTGGACTCGCTGTGACTAGATCTCCTTCTTCCACTTAGGCCAGACCCTTCCAATCCAGATTGCCCACGACCAGCCTGCGCATGTTCACTGGTGACTCCTGAGTGTCCATGAGTTGTTCCCTGTCTCCCTCTAAGATCGGATCTGGACTCTCCATGTTGAGACCCAGCCTGGCCCTGTCGGTACCCTGAATGTCTCTGTGAGCCTCCTGAATGAAGTTCACTGTGACTGGCCTCACTGTGACTAGATCCCCTTCTTCCACTTAGACCAGACCCTTCCAATCCGGATTGCCCATGACCAGCCTGCGCATGTTCACTGGTGACTCCTGAGTGTCCATGAGTACTTCCCTGTCTCCCTCTAAGAGAAGATCCGGACTCTCCATGTTGAGACCCAGCCTGGTCCTGTAGGGTCCCTGAATGTCTCTGTGAGCTTCCTGAATGAAGTTCACTGTCACTGGACTCACTGTGACTAGATCCCCTTCTTCCACTTAGGCCAGACCCTTCCAATCCGGATTGCCCATGACTAGCCTGCGCATGTTCGCTGGTGACTCCTGAGTGTCCATGAGTACTTCCCTGTCTCCCTCTAAGAGAGGATCCGGACTCTCCATGTTGAGACCCAGCCTGGCCCTGTCGGGACCCTGAATGTCTCTGTGAGCTTCCTGAATGAAGTTCACTCTGACTGGCCTCACTGTGACTAGATCCCCTTCTTCCACTTAGGCCAGACCCTTGCAATCCGGATTGCCCACGACCAGCCTGTGCATGTTCACTGGTGACTCCTGAGTGTCCACGAGTAGTTCCCTGACCTGAGCTAGACCCATATTTTCCAAAGCCTGAGGACTGACTTGAGCTAGACCCATATTTTCCAAAGCCTGAGGACTGACTTGAGCCAGACCCCTGCTGTCCAAAGCCTGAGGACTGACCTGACCCAGATCTGTGTTGTCCAAAGCCTGCGGACTGACTTGAGCCAGATCTGTGTTGGCCATGACCAGAGGACTGACCTGAGCTAGACCCATGTTGTCCTAATCCTGAGGACTGAGCTGAGCCAGATCCGTGTTGGCCATGACCAGAGTACTGACCTGAGCTAGATCCATGTTGTCCAAATCCTGAGGACTGAGCTGAGCCAGATCTGTGTTGGGCATGACCAGAGGACTGACCTGAGCTAGACCCATGTTGTCCAAATCCTGAGTACTGTCCTGAGCCAGATCCGTGTTGGCCATGACTAGAGGACTGACCTGAGCTAGATTCGTGTTGTCCAAAGCCTGAGGACTGACCTGAGCCAGATCTGTGTTGGCCATGACCAGCGGACTGACCTGAGCTAGATCCGTGTTGTCCAAAGCCTGAGGACTGTCCTGAGCCAGATCTGTGTTGGGCATGACTAGAGGACTGACCTGAGCTGGACCCATGTTGTCCAAATCCTGAGGACTGTCCTGAGCCAGATCCGTGTTGGCCATGACTAGAGGACTGACCTGAGCTAGATCCGTGTTGTCCAAAGCCTGAGGACTGTCCTGAGCCAGATCTGTGTTGGGCATGACCAGAGGACTGACCTGAGCTGGACCCATGTTGTCCAAATCCTGAGGACTGTCCTGAGCCAGATCCGTGTTGGCCATGACTAGAGGACTGACCTGAGCTAGATCCGTGTTGTCCAAAGCCTGAGGACTGACCTGAGCCAGATCCGTGTTGGCCATGACTAGAGGACTGACCTGAGCTAGATCCATGTTGTCCAAAGCCTGAGGACTGTCCTGAGCCAGATCCGTGTTGGCCATGACCAGAGGACTGACCTGAGCTAGACCCGTGTTGTCCAAAGCCTGAGGACTGACCTGAGCCAGATCCGTGTTGGCCATGACCAGAGGACTGACCTGAGCTAGACCCGTGTTGTCCAAAGCCTGAGGACTGACCTGAGCCAGATCCGTGTTGACCATGACCAGAGGACTGACCTGAGCTAGATCCATGTTGTCCAAAGCCTGAGGACTGACCTGAGCCAGATCCTTGTTGGCCATGACCAGAGGACTGACCTGAGCTAGACCCGTGTTGTCCAAAGCCTGAGGACTGACCTGAGCCAGATCCGTGTTGGCCATGACCAGAGGACTGACCTGAGCTAGATCCATGTTGTCCAAAGCCTGAGGACTGACCTGAGCCAGATCCATGTTGGCCATGACCAGAGGACTGACCTGAGCTAGATCCATGTTGTCCAAAGCCTGAGGACTGTCCTGAGCCAGATCCGTGTTGGCCATGACCAGAGGACTGACCTGAGCTAGACCCATGTTGTCCAAAGCCTGAGGACTGTCCTGAGCCAGATCCATGTTGGCCATGACCTGAGGACTGTCCTGAGCCAGATCCATGTTGTTCAAAGCCCGAGGACTGACCTGAACCCGACCCGTGTTGTTCAAAGCCTGAGGACTGACCTGAGCCACATCCATATTGGCCATGGCCAGAAGACTGACCTGAGCCAGATCCATATTCACCACATTGAGAATATTCATTTGATGCACACCCTTTTTGATTAGAGTTCATAGAGTGTCTACAGGAACCAGATCCTTGTTGACCACAATTAGAAGACTGACTTGCTCCAGACCCATATTGTCCACAGCAAGAGGACTGACTTGATCTCATTCCATGTTGTCCTCCACAGTTCTGTGGTTGACAACATGCCCCGGATCCATATCTTCTTCTATGACAAGAAGGTTCGCTACAGTAGCTAGGCTTGCATTGACCATATCCAGAGGATTGACCTGAGATACATTTATGACTTTGTCTTCCACTATTTCCTGATTGACAACCTGACTGAATACAGCTAGATTTATTTCCTTGCCCTCCAAATCTGCCTGCCTGACAGGAGCTAGAAGCATTTTGTGTTCCTCCACACCCACTTGAGTTGCTGGAACCACATGCATAGCTCTGTCTTCCATACTCTCCTGAACCTTTAGAGCTAGATTCAAGATTTTGTCCTCCATTCTTTCCTGACTGAGTAGAGTTTGATTCATGCCCACTTGCCTCTAGTCCACCTGACAGACCACCATGACCTTTTCTTCCCCCACTCTTAGACCCAGATCCAGATGTGTATTCCTCCCCAGATTCCCTGGAGGGGCTAACATGTGGCTTGTTTCTTCGTTTCTCTAGCTCTCCAGAGCTGGAACCGCGTCTTTCTTTGCCACTACTCTGTGAGTCACCAGAGCTAGACCCGCGGCGCTTTTTTTCAAATCCCTCTTGGTTTTCTGAGCTAGATAAACCACTTTGCCTCCCCAGCCTCCTGGAATGGGACCCATGTCTATATTTCCGAGTTCTCCCCGAACCCTCAGAATGAAAACCATGCTCCTCTCCCTCACTCACACTTGGATTTCTATAACCTGATTTGTGTCTTGATATATTCTCATCTTCTTCTGTTTCACTTTCTTCCTCTTGGTGTTGGTGACCATGCATATGCTTCTGCTTCTTTGACCCTGAAGCTTTGCAGTATTCTTTGCTGAGAACCTTGTTGCAGGCCATAGCCAGCTTGAATACCATCAGAAGAAACTCAGTAAAGTCCAGTCTTCGGTCATGATCTCGATCCAGCATATGCATAATGACATCCACTGTGTCTGGATCATCAGGGTTCTGTACATAAGCAACACACCAAAGGAGTCTTGGTCAGGCTAACCCACATACTCAGCTAAAATATTTAGACAAGACTATGGAATTGTAGATGTTCAACACTAAACATTTTAATCCAATCAAGGATTACTTTAAGCTGAGGCAGCCTAATAGGACCCAGCAGATGTGAAGAAGTGACAGAAAACATAAAGACTGTTGGGATCCTCAAAAGAATACAGCCCAAGGACCTAAGGTAGAGAACTAAGTACTCAAGTACGGTATGCAGGAAGGACTTGAATAAACTAAGTTCGGTACCTTGTGAGTTTTAGTTTTACATACATTTTAAACATTATATGTTAATATGTTCCATGTTAGGTTCTATAATTTTGAAGTTAATAAATGAGTCCTTTCCAAGTAGATGGAAAAAAATGCCTGTATTTTGTTTTTGGTTTTTAGTTATCCTGGCTACTTGGTCAACTCCCACTATAGATGATTTTCCTTTCTATAGTTTTTCTTCCCCATTTGATAGGGTAATTTATTAATTCATGTCTTAGTACAAATTTTATTTTTCAAATTTTATTTTTCACTTTTTCAGAATGGGAAGCCTGGGGGCATGAAGATGTCTGAGGGTCTACATAGTGGGAATGCACAGAAAAAATGAAAAATCATTCACTTTTCTGAAAGTAAACACTGCCTCAACAGACTTTCTGATGTACCAGAAAGGTACTGCTCATAGAGTTTTCTCAAAGACCCCTGGAACTATGCACTTTTTAGCTAATATTTGGTTATATCACAAAATGTACAGGACTGTAGGAGCCTTCAGTTCTAGCACATGGTCCTTACCTTCAGAATTGGCCGAAATTCTTTCTCCAGAAGTTCCTTTAGGTCATCCTTGCTCAGTGTGCCACATTCCCCATCTTGGTTGGTATATTTGTAGAAAACATCAATGACGGTGACAACACTTCTCAAGAGGTTGGTCATCTTTCTGCACGTTTAAGTGAACCTAGGGAGAAAAACAAAAGACTCTATCATTCATTTTCTTTTTCCTTTTTTAAAAATTTTTTATTTTTTTTGTTATAGATGTTTCTCCTTTTTTACCCCATTGGCACCCCCCCCCCCGCCCCATCCCCAGCTTTGTTGTCCATGCCCTTTGGTTATGCATACATGCATATAAGTTCTGTGGTTTATCTCTTCCCATGCCCACCACCCTCTCATTTTCTTTCCTTTTATTTTACAAGCGGTTCTGATTTTAATCATCATCATCATGATTTTTCAAATCTCTTGTCTCTTTAAAACTGAAAACACCTCAAAAAGTAAAGATGGTCAGGACGATACCAAACCTTTCAACACAGTGAAAAATAACTTTGTTAACATTAGTCATGGCGTGTTACTGGCCAAACTGGGACTACATGTCAGGTCTCCATGCTCTGGATGAATAAATTCTTTTCTTAATGTCTCTAAACTTTGTGTACTTTGGTGTCTTGGGTGTTGTCCTGGGGCTTCCAAAGTTTCCAGAACCACCCAGACATATTTCCCCAGTCTTTCTTGCTAGTTTTACTGATTTTTCTAGAGTCAAAATTGACAGACCTTCTACCCTGCATACCTCAGGCACCAAAGCTAAACTGGACCCTCAAGACTTTCAGGAAATAAAAAATGGGCAAAGTGGGCCAATGCTCTCCTGGTTTTCCAGAGGCCTGAGATAGCCCTCATGAGAACTTAGGAACTAGCCTAATCTTAGGCCTTGGCCTAACACTGTTCTCTTTCATTAATCAGGGAGAAAGGCTCAGAAATGCAGGCAGCAGTTTGGCTCGTAAATGATTTGATCTAGGAGCTCTGAGAACTAACAGCTCTGTTTGAGCTGGGCAGCCCAGACAAGATGGCATGCAAAAAGACCAGGTGGAGAGTGTGGAGTGGCCTGTAACAACACAAACTTCTATTTGAATTCTTCCTCTTCACAATGACAAATTTATTCTAAAAAGGTTCCAGAATAAGTTAAACTAACAAAACAATAAGCAAATAAAAAGAAAAGAAAAGAAAAGGAAAACAACAATGGAAAGAAAGGCCAAATATATATTAACTTTGCCCTAGCTCAAACTCTTGGATTTCTGCTGTGAACAATGACAAACCAAATAACTATTGATATAGCTGGATAAATTTTCTCTCACCTGGTTCACCAAAGGAACAAGTAGGAAAAAAGCCTGATGAAGCTTGCAGGGTGACAATGATTGAAATAGTGGCCCTTATATAGCTATATGTGGGTGCTGCCTTCCCTCTGTGGGATGGACTGATTCATTTCCAATCAAACCTAACTCCACCTCTGTCCATGTTTACCTTCCTACTTCTTTGCATTCTCATCTTTGAGATGATTGCAGAAAGGCTGGTATCGACGCACCTTCCAGTATGAGGACATGTTGCAGGCCACTTTTTTTCAGCATCATACAGCACCATACACCTGTAAAAAGCAGATACTTGTATTTTAGAGGAGATGTGCAATTCATTTTTTTTATCTAGTACCCACAAAAATGAACAAACTGTAAGGTACTTGGCAGGTATGCAATAAATGCTTATTTAATTGAAAACAAATGTGGGTGCCCTGGCCAGGTGGCTCAGTTGGTTGGAGAGTTGTCCCATACACCAAAAGGTTGTGAGTTTGATTCCCAGTCAAGGCACATACCTAGGTTGTGGGTTAGATCCCCCATCAGGGTGTGTTTGGGAGGAAACAAATCCTTGTTTCTCTTTTACATCAATGTTTTTCTCTGTCTCCCTTCCTCTCTCTAAAGATCGATAAGGATTAAAAAAATAAAAAGAAGAAGAAAAGAAAATGAACTTAGCCCATTAGGCTCACCTAAGTCATGTCTTTTTGTAGTAATAATTGCCATTTATTGAGAATTTACTATGTGCAAGATATTATGCTGAATACTTTTCACATATCATCTCATTTAATCTTCACCACATTTCTACAAGATATGTATTGTTTTTTCTTCTTCTCGTTTTACAGATGAAGAATAGGTTCAGAGAGAATAAGAGTCATTTCCAAGTTTACACAGCTAATAGGTGGAGGAAGCAGGGTTTGAACCTATATCTACTTTATTATAATGCCCTTGCTCTTAACCACTTATTACACAAAAATTAAACTCTGTTTTAGGTGTGTCAGGTCTATCCAAACACACAAAAAAATATATGAAAAAATAATATAAAGATGCTGGCAGCCAGGAAGAGAAGAAACACATTCTCTGGCCCTTTGAAGGCTCTTTTCTAGACTATAAAAGTGTGAGCTAATGGGCTAAATGCAGACATAATGTTTTCAGAAGTGTTCAGGGTGAATTTAGAGAGGGCTTTCTGCTATCCATTGGTAATCTGGCAGCTTTGGGAAAGTGTTACTTGTATACATAAAGTATGTCAAATATAATATCCAAGGGAAGCAAGCGTAGTCAGAAAGCTGTATTAGGCATGAAGAACCAGCTTTTCTGTACTTTGCCACCAGGTGATGATGATGAGATGAACGGTGAATTTAGCGGGGATCATTAATTAAGTACTTACTGTCTTCTAGACGAGAAGGTTTTATAAGCTTGTCTTTTTATTCCTCAAAAGAACCCTTAAAGTCAGTACTATTTTCATTTTACAAATAAGGAAATGAAAGCATAGAGAAATGTAGTAATTCATCTCAAATCACAGCTGCACTGAGATAGAAACCCATGCTGTCTGAGGGAGAGCCCTGCACTTGACTACATGTATACCTCATACACGGGATCCATCCGCTCCTGTCTGGATACTCCTTCAGGGGAGCCATCAGCATATTCACCCCACTATCTGGACAATGCCTAGGGCTTAATAAACACTTTGGGTGAGTGTTTGTTCAGAAAATGCTAATGGCTTAAAAAAAAAATTTAAAAAAAAAATGCTTATGGCCACACCACTGAGGTATATCCATTGCTCTCATAGCCAGGGTGTCCTAGACCAAAGTGACCACACAAAAAGTTATGTTGTCCCTTGGATGTTATGGTCATTTTCATTGAATGCATTTTTTGGAATTATACTTGTTTCTGTTGCAATGACTGCTGTGCCAGGGGGACTTTCAGACCCCCAGTCTCCACGCTGAGATTTCAAAACCATCCTCGCACAGCAGGCCCAGGGTTCTAGGCCAGAACTTTGAACGTAGTTCCACAGTTTATTCACAGAGCTCTACCATTCACGCTCTTGTATTCTTTGTGTTGATACTTCGCTGCTTCTTCTAACTTGCTTAGCATAATAAATAAAAGTATAAACTTGGGAGTTAGAAAGATTTTAGCTCAAATCTAAGCCGTATTTTTTATCTGTGTTCCTTGGGCAATTATCGAATCCTCTGAACTTCAGTTTCCTAACTTTTATAATAGAAATAATAATACTTGTCTCACTGGTTGAGATTACTTAAGATAATATGTGAAATTGCTTAGTACCTACCTGGCATAACAAATGCTTAATAAAGTATATAATTATTATAAGCTCCTTGTAAAAAATACTTACTTAGCATCTAACACAGTGCCTTACACATGTTCAATCATGTTTGATAAAAATAAATTAGGATCCAACAGGAAGCCTTTAAAGGCAAAATACTACTTCTCTGTCAAAATCATTGCTCCAGAAGGTAAGTCACGATTCTGTTTTTATTTTTTTAATCCTCACCCAAGGATATTTTTTTCATTTATCTTCAGATAGAGTGGGAGGGAAGGAGGGGAGAGAGAGAGAGAGAAACATTGAGATAGAGTGGGAGGGAGGGAGGGACGGGGAGAGAGAGAGAGAGAGAGAGAAACATTGATGTGAGAGAGACACATGGACTGGTTGCCTCCTGCATGACCCCAACCAGGGCCAGGAACAAACCAAAACTGAGGTATGTGCCTGTGACTGGAATCGAACCCATGGCTCTTTGGTCTGCAGGCTGATGTGCTAACTGCTGAGCCAAACCAGCCAGGGCTGGTTTTTTGTTGTTTTTTTTTATTAACACGTTTATTGAGATGTAATTTACATACCATAAAATTCAACCTTTTAAAAAAATTACTGATTTTTAGAGGGAGGAATGGAAAGAGAGAGACAGATAGACACACATAGAGAGAGACATTGATGTGATAGAGAAACATCAATCAGTTGCCTCCCATGTGGCTCTACTGGGATTCCGAAACCTAGGTATGTGCCCTGATTGGGACTCGAACCCGTGACCTTCCAGTGCATAGGACAACACTCCAACCAACTGAGCCACACCATCCAGGGGAAATTCAACTTTTTAAAGTATGCAGTTTAGTGGTTTTTAGTATATTCACAGAGCTGTGCAATTAAGTTACTGTTATTATGGTGTCTGTGTCCTTAAGTAAGTTTCCTCACTTCTCAATGCTTCCATTTCCCTCTATAATAAATATAAGGTGTTATTAATGCCAGGGTACAAGTGGACACATGTCAGATCATTTCAGCTGCAATTCTGGAGAACAGTGATGGTCCTACCAGAAACCTATGCACCATTTGCAGAGAAACCAAAGTGATGGTTTCTAAGGATCAACTTAATGACACCTGCAGAGGTTTTAGCCTGCCTGGGTTCTGAAAGGTCATTTGGTCCAATGAAGCAGAGGCCTAGAGTCCAGAGCTAGTCTCAGCTACACCATTTCTCTGGATGTGGGTCTCGTTCTCATCTCATGATCCTCTGCTCATTCCACATCCACACTGCTCTGGGTTTTCAGGAACGACCAGACTTTGATTTTACACCCAGTTGGTGAAGCTTGTACATTATTGGTTACTGGATTGTCTTGAGGGGGAAGCTAAAATTTTAGAATGTTAAAAATCACTTTGTACCTATGGAAGTCCCAGATTTTGTTTTTTCCACAGAACATCAGCTGAATTTTGTTTTCATGTCACATTCTATTCAAGCGGGGCCTTCTTCAAGTTAAGGTCTGTGCGTGTTATAAAAACCAAACATTCTCTCTGTGCTGGACCCCCCTATATTGAGGTTTCTCAGT